AAATATAGTCTGTGTATTTTCTATTTGGAAGGTAGATGGTATTCCCAAGGGGCTTCAATTTTGTAAGAAGTGTGTTTTAACTAGGCTTTCTTTGACTACTTTGTAGAAGCTTGACATTGATTAGGGTTTAGATATTTATTATCAAATAAGATACAATATTTATAAACTTTCTAAATTGCTCTATGCTTCTTATTCCATCAATCTAGAGATCTTTTTGTGCCTATATAATATTCTGTATTTGATATATGAGAAAACTAATGTACCTTTGTAAAGAAAAGCAGATTTTCCTGTATTAATTTTAGATATTGAGATACTTGTATAAAACTTATAAGGTTAAATATCATTCTTTGAACACCCATGTAAGACCATATTGCTCCATCACAACCCAGTTCAATTCCTCTTCTCCCAGAGACATCTTTCTCCAGACTTTTTAATATTATTACTTGCTTTCCTTTATAGTTTTTTGTCATTTATAAGTGCCCAGAATTAGCATGTTAGTGAACTTTCTGTTACTGTAACAAAACAACTAAGTTGACTAACCTAAAAAGAGGCAAAGTTTATTCTGGCTCACGGTTTAGGAGATTTTAGTTCATCAATCTAGAGACTTATTGGTCCCATTGCTCTGGGACTGTGGGGGTATATGGCAGAGAAGACCCATTCACCTCGTGACCAGGGCATGAAAAAAGGAAGAGGAGACTGGATTCCCACCCTCTCTTTTGGGGGCTTGCTCCCTGGACCTAAGATCTCCCATTAGGTCCTATCTTTTAAAGGTTCCACCCCCTCCCCATGCTACCACTCTGGGGAATCAAGTCTTTAACACATGGGACTTTGGATGACACCTAGGATCTAAACAACAAGAGTTAGGATTTTGTGGCCGGGTGCAGTGGCACATGCCTGTAATCCCAGCAGCTCCGGAGGTTGAGACCAGAGGATCACAAGTTCAAAGCCAGCCTCAACAATGGCGAGGCGCTAAGTATTTCAGTGAGACTCTGTCTCTAATAAAATACAAAAACTGGACTGGGGATGTGGCTCAGTGTTTGAGTGCCCCTGAGTTTAGCCCCTGGTAACCATCCCCCTTGCAAAAAAAGGATTTTGAGGTGGGTAGTTATGAGTATCTCTAACTTTATTAAAAAATGTTAAACATTTTCTTAGTGACTATACTGGTTTGCGCTCCTGTTATCAATGTATGAGTGTTCTCAGTGCTCTTTTTCTTCGCCAACACTAATTTTTTTTCAGACTTTAAATATAGTTGGTGCTCCACATCTGGAAATTCTGCATCTGCAGATCTACCAATCTTGGATTGCAAATATTTAAAAAAAATTGCCCCTGCACTAAACATATGCAGATTCTTTCCTGTCATTATTCCATAAACAATATGGTATGCCACCTATTTACATGGCTTTTACATTCTATTAGGTATTGTAAGTAATTGAAGGATGATATAAAGTATATGGGAGGATTGTGTAGATTATATACAATTACTATGCCATTTTATATAAGGGACTTGAGCATCTGCAGATTTTGGAAAACCAATCCTGTGTGGATACCAAGGGATGACCATATTCCTGGTTACTATTGAGAATCATTGTGTGTGTGTGTGTGTGTGTGTGTGTGTGTGTTTATATTTTATATGGATATCATTTAATAGTACCTGTGGAATTTTAAAAACATGTTTTCCATTTTCTTCATGTCTTGTAGAATTTATTTATATATTTGTACTAGATATCGGTTGACTGTGTGTTTCAATTAGATTCTGCCACTCCATGGCTTGTCTTTGTTATGTTGTATTTTTAGGGGAAAAAAGATTTTTAAAATTTTAATGTAGTCATATGTCTACCAGGTTTTTCTCCCTTTTATATATAGTGTTTTTTTGTGTCTTAAAGAACCTTTTCCTAGCCTAAGGTTAAGCTCTTAATTAACTTGAAATAGATTATTATAAAGTTGGGGTCCAATTTCATGTTTTTTTCTTAAGAATACCCATTTTCCCCAGCCCTTAGTTCTTGAAATGCTATTCTTTGTGTAAGCAAAGGATCTTCAGTGCTAGTTTTGTCACAAATAACCATAAATTCATGGTATATTTCTAACTAGTCATTATTCCTGTGTTAGTCCCACAATTCTGACATTTTATTAATAATAATTCTTGTTAGACAAGTTATATAGTGTTAATCTATATTTTCAAGAACTTCTTGGCCTTCATTGGCAATTTATGCTTCCATATATACTTTAGCATCAGCTCCTTATGTTCAAACCCAGCAAAGCTCTCAAGAAATTTTAGATCTGTAGGTCAGTTTAGGAAAGTTGGCACCCGACAATACTGAGTCCTGTAAGTGAAGACCAGCTTCCTCACTGGCTGTCTTTCTGCCTTTCTTGGTAAACTATTTTAATAATGTTGTTATTTTCTCATCTGAAGACTTTACATGGTTTTTTAAGTTTTACTCCTAGATACTTTGTATTCTCAGAGATACTATAAATGTTATCTTTTAGATTTTTAAATTATTTATTGCTAGTTTGATGGTTTTGCATATTTTTTTTTCATTTGTACTAACTCTGTTAAACTCACAGATTTGAAGTATAATATTTGTGCAACTTAAAAAAAATTAGCTTACTATAGAATTTTTCATTTTGATGTACAGTACTTTGCATTTTAACACATGTATGGATGTATGTAAGTGCTGCCATAATCAGGATAGGGAATGGGCTTATCATTCCCTAAAATTCCTTTGTGTGCTTTGGCTATATATTCAGACCCCCTCCCATCTTCATTATCTGGCAACTGCTGCTCTGATCTGTTCTTTTCCCTCTAGCTTTGTGTTTTCCAGATGTCATATACATGGAGTTAGGCAGTGTCGACTTTCCGAGACCAACTTCTTTTACTTTACACAGTGATTTTGACATTCATCAATGTCAATGCATGCATTCCTTTTTATTGCTAAATAGTGTTCCATTCTACAGACATACCAAAGTTTATCTATTCATCCATTAAATTAATTATGTTGTTGTTATTATTTTTTGACTCTTCATATTACTCCAGTTTCTTGGATGAACTACTTGACCTCTTGTGTATTAGTTTCTTCGTTGACAGTGGTGATAATAATGGTACCTACCTGATAGGTTATTATGGGGATGAGTATGTTAACACATATGAAGTAGCCAGTTCTCCATATTTTTGGGTTCCCCATCTGTGGATTCAATCTACCACAGTAATACTTAAAGAAAGATAATTGTGTCTATAGTGAAGATATTTTTCTTGCCATTTTTCCTTAATGCAGTATAATAACTATTTACATACCATTTCCCTTGCATTAGTATTATAAACAATCTAGAGATGAATTAAATTATGTGGAAAGATGTGCATAGATTATATGCATCAACTTTGACATTTTATATAAGGGTCTTGCACCTGTGGATTTTGGAATCCTTGAGGGGTCCTGAATCAGTGCTCTATGCATACTTAGAATAATGCTTATTACGGAGTACACAGCCCATTATTATTTTGGTCTCCAATATTAACAGAGATTTTGAGGTAGAAAAGAACTTGATAGGTTCAAGGACTAGCTGGTGTCTTGGTTTTGTAATATGCAAGGAGGAGCAGGAGTACCAGAGGACAGGGAGAGGAAGTATGCAGGAACCAAGAGCCTCCTGGGCTGATGCAAGGAGCTTTGATTGGATTGCAGTTGCAATGGAAAGCTGGGGATGAGACATGAGCTAGTTGGTGTTTTTAATAGATTACTCAGGCTGATGTGAAGAGAGTCAATCATGGTGTTTTTAAGAGAGAGAGCAGGCTTCCTCCTAGAAGGCTGGGGAGGAGTAGTGGGTAGATTATAGCAGTTGTTGTGGGAGGAAGCTGACAGGTGTTTTGACTTGAGGTATGGTGTGGTTGTAGAACCAAGAGCTTGCTAACCAATTCACAGCTCTGAGAAGGAAGCCCCTTCCTCATAGGAGCAGCTGTGTGGCTGGCTGTGATTGCCAACAGCAACACTCCTGCCCGGTGGGGCTGTACCAGAGGTTTTCCTCCTCCACTTTTGAAGTGGAACCTCAGCTTTGTCTACTCTATGAAGTCCACATAGAGAAACTGTCTTCTGCACATTTTTAAATGAGGGACGGATTTCTTTTCTACTCATATAATTCCTGAATACATTTGTTTTAAAAAAAAGGCAAAAGAACTGGCTTATTCCACAAAAATACATCCTCATAGCATTTTGCTTTGTAGTTCTCTGCAGCATGTGTTGTTCTGTGACCCCACATGCTCAGCTGCTCTCCTAGGAGTAGAAATAAGTTGCCTTGGCTGCTTCATCTGTAGCCAGCAGAGTTTTAGTGGTTGGCTGGAGTTCCCATGTGCACAGGGGACTTATTGTTGGAATAAACATTATTGGACACAGATGAAAATTGGACCAGAAATTTATTTTTGTCCTCCTTTCAACCTCAATTTGCTCTAGAATCTCTCATTCAAATGACAAATAGTCTGGTCTTCCTGAGAGATTTGAAGACTGAAAACAGCCCTTGTGGGCTTACTTAGCCTTGTATTCAAATGGAGATTTTTCTTTTTTGGAAGCAGTTAAAAATAGAGTTCTCTGATCTCACATAGAAAGTTTTCTTTGATTTCCTGCTCTTAACACATCTGTGTTTGTTCTCTGTGGGGCCCTAGCTTCCAACTCCTCCTTCAAGATAAACACCTGACCAGGTCTTTATGTGAAACACACTCATCTTGCTTTTTTTTTTTTTTTTTTGCCTTTTTAATTCTATCCTATCCTATCTGCTTAATTTGGGACTTTTTAAAAATAATTCAGAGTTTTTCAGAGGAAGGAATTTCTCCTTTACCCCGAGCTACTTGTAATCTTTGGGCCCAAAGGCTATCATCTCTCATCAGGTTAATGTCATTTGTGTCTTCTGTTGTCTCAGCTTATTTGTAGAAAGGACTCTGGGACCTAGGAGATGCTCACTTGAACTTTGTGCCTCATTGTGTGCTTCTTTGTAACCTGGCTTCTTTTGTGATCTTACAGAATACCAAGCTGCTATTTTACACTTGAAGAGGGAACACAAAGAAGAAATTGAAAACCTGCAGGTATATCTCTTTGATTCTACTGAACTGATTATCTGATATTTAGTTTTGTCATGTGCTGAAGTAAATATTCTTCTGGTGTGAAGTATTGAACTAGTCAGTATCTGTAGCTTGCACCTGCCAGTGGGCACGAGCTTATCCTGGGGATGTAAGTCTTGGACTCTATATTTAATTGAATTCAGTTCTTAATTTTTTTTTGGCAGGGGTAGAAACATAAAAGACTTTTATTTTATTAGAAAAAAATAATTTTTTTAAAGCAGGGAAGAAGACAGAGTATTTAGACTTTCATTGTATGAATTTTATTTTAAAAGTTTTCCTATGCACAGTGTAGATTATTTGTGTTGGTCTTGCTCCCAAGCATGAGTTCATGTCCACCTGTCTCAGCACATCCCTGCACTGTGATGTCTTGCAAATTAAGGCCCTTGAGGAAAAGGAGCTGGTAGGAGTAAGAGGTATGTGAGTCATCCTGTATCCACAGGAAGTGCTGGGAAGTTACCATCTCCCTCCTTACAAATGAAGCCCAGCATAACACAGGGATCATTTCCCTTGTCTTGCCATCTAATCCTTGTGTCCTATTGTTGGCTTTTACTTACATTGCTTACAGCAGGGAGTTTAGAATGTTAGCTTCAAGTAACTAGATAGTGAATCAGACCTGCAGTCTAGTCTATTGATGGCTGGGGTAACCTTCATACTTCAGGAAAAAATAATAGCAAAATTTAAATAAGCTTTATGTTCATTTAATGCTAACTCATTGCTTGCTAATTTAATGAATTTATGGATCTTATATTCTTCTTCTCTTTTTTTTCAATTTGTTTTTATTGACAAATAGAAATTGTATGTATGTGTGGTATATAGCATGTTTTAAAATATGGATGATTGTAGAGTGACTAAATTGAGTTCATTGACATGCATTAATTCATGTGTATAATTTATTTGTGATGACAGTATTTAGACTCTACTTTCTTAACAATTTTGAAGTATAAAATACATTGTTATTAACCATAACCATGGTTACYACAGTAGATCTCTTAGTCTCATTCCTAATTTCTGATTGAAATTTTGTGTCCTCTGACCAATCTCTCCCTTCTCTTTTCTTCTATCTCCCACTCCCTATCCCTTAGTAGACAACATTCTATTCTGTTTCTATGATTTCAGCTTTCTAAATGGGATGGTGTAGTATTGGTCTTTCTCTGCCTGACTTATTTCACTTCATCCAATGTCTTCTAGTTTCATCCACACGATTGCAAATGACAGAGTCCCCTCTTTTTAAAGGCTGAGTTGTATTACATTGTGTCTGGCTACCACATTTTCTTTATCTTCTCTTCCACTGATAGACACATAGACTGGTATTATGTCTTGGATTTTGTGAGCAATATTGCAATGAGCAAAGAAGTACATATATGTCTTGGAAATAGTGATTTCATTTTCTTTGGATAGATACCCAGTAGTGGAATTGCTGAATCATATGGKAGATCTCAGTTTTTAATAATGGCTTTGCTAGTTTACATTTCCATCAGCAGTGTGCAAGGGTTCCCTTTTCTCTACATTCTTGTCAACATTTGTTCTTTTACCTTTTTATAGTATTAATCATTCTGACAAGTATGAAGTGATATCTCATTGTGGTTTTAATTTGCATTCCCTGATTAGTGACATTGAGCATACTTTCAAATACCTACAGGCCTTTTGTGTGTGTTCTTTTTTTTTTTAACCTTTATTTTATTTACTCATGTGGTGCTGAGGATTGAACCCAGTGCCTCACATGTGTTAGTCAAGTGCCCTACCACTGAGCTACAACCCCAGCCCCTTGAGAAATGTCTATTTGTTTCTTTGCTTGTTTTTAAATTAGCTCATTTGTTTCCTTGCCATCAAGTTACTTGAGTTCTTTATATATTTTGTAGCCACTTACTAGATGCATTGCAATAGTCTCCTTTTTAGCAAATGATAATATGTCTTTATAAAATACTTGAGGTAGTATTCTGCATTATACATGAAGTCATTATCAGTAGCAAAAAGTAAAAAATATATATATATTAGCAGCATGGTGTGTGATTTAACCAACCCAGGCAGGTTTAAGTAGTTGGGGGCAATGAGTCCATTTCATGAAGAAACAAGAGAGTTGAAAAGTACCTGTCCTCTGGGGAGAAAGATCCTTATCTCCTTTGTTGCAGAATGCCCTACAGAGACCTCTCTTTCTTTTTCTTTGTTCTGGTGTGGAATAGATTGTCAGCTGTCTCAGGATTTGAAGTTGATGGGTGATAATTTAAGATGCAGGTTTGTGAAGAGGGTAGGTATAGAAGTGATTCTGTAAACAGAAGTTTTATTAACAGTCAAGTATAAGAGTTGACACTAGTTTTCCCCAAATTGTAGATCCAGCCTAGTCAAGCTGGGACCACTAAATAATATTCACAGCAGGATTAAATGTTTACACTTTTTGAGTTCTTACTCTGTGGTAGGCGTTGCTCTAAGCACATTACATATATTATCTCATGTCATCTCTGCAAATGCTATGATCTTAAATCTCAAACTCAAAGAAAATGTTCTTTTTAATCTTTTTTTTTTTTTTTTAGTTGTTGATGGATTTTCATTTAAACCCAGTGCCTCCCACATGCTGCGCAAGTGCTCTATCACTGAGCTACAACCCAGCCCCAAAGAAAAGGTTCATATATCAGTCAATTCTCTATTACTATAGCAAATGCCCGAGAGAATCAAATTTAAAAGGATGAAAGGTATATTTTGGTTCGTGGTTTGAGAGGTTTCAGTCTGTGGTCACTTGGCCCTGTTGTTTTGCATCTGTGGTAGTGCAGTCTGCCATGACAGGAGCCAGTGGCAGAGGAGGTCTGTTCACCTCATGGCATGCTGGAAGCAAAGAGAGAAGCAGGAAAGGGCTGAGGTCCTGATAGGCCCTTCAAGGGCATGCCCCCTATGACCCCAACTCCTTCCACTAGCCCGACTCCTAAAGGTTCAACCAGCTCCCAGTAGTGTGAAAGGCTGGGGCCCAAACCTTTATCACATGGGCCTTTGGGGGACATTCCAGATCCAAACTGTGGCAGTGGAGAAAAGACAGTATATTGTGATCATGATCTCCATTTAAAATACGAGTTAGACTAATAAGGCATGATTCGCTGAAGTGAAAAGTTAAAAAAATGTAACTATAGCTTAGATTATTTTTGAAAGTTAATTTCTCAAAGCATTATCTACTCTTTGATGCTATTAGTAAACTTAAAAGTTTTTTTTTTTCTTTCTGTCACACTTAAGATTTTACACCTAATTGCTARAACACTGTGGCCAAGGACACTACTCCCATTGGGGCACTAGCAGTCTCTATTCCAGCAGTCACAGAAAGACAACCCTCAGTAGGAAACTGGCCACTCTTAGCTCTCATCTGACCTGGAGAAGTATATTGCTTTGCAAGCACAATCTTTTAAAATTAAACTTCTAGGAATAAATAAACATTTTTTTAAATGTAGAGATTTTTATACAAAAAGATGGATTTCTAACAGCTTCTTAAAAAAAGGGGGAGGAGTCTGATGACAGTGTTTTTCAGTGTGACTTTGGCCTCTTAGTGTTGGTAGTAGACATCACTTCAAGTAGGACTTTCTCTCCAATTTGCCACTGTCCATTCTGGCCAGGTCACCTGCTTGACTCCTCTGTGCTTTAACTAACCCCATTTTCTCAGTGATAATAATACAGTGAAACAGCTAGTTTGGCAGCAGCACCAACCTGTCAGAGAACATGCTGTTCATAAAATACATAGAAAGAAAAATCCCAGCCTGGCTATCCTTGTGGGTACCCACTGGGATAGCATCCCTACCTGTTTTATTCCATGAAGTAACAAAGTCCCTCTTGTCACAGGATTGGTGGAAGGTAATGGTGGGGGAGCTGCTGTGTTGGTGCTCATTTCTTTGTATGATATTCATTCATTAGAGCCTTTATTGCCTGTTAGAATTTCTAACAAATATGTATTTCAGGATTTCTTCAACATGCCTTTTTAGAATAGGAAGGATATAATTCTTGAAGTGCACCAAAATGATGGTTCATTCTGTCACCATATACAAGAATTGATTTGCATCACATTTAGGTTTTGGGGAATGCCTCCATAGGAGTTAAAGAAGCAGTATGATTTGCCTAACAAGGCATCTAAATTTAGTCTTCCAATCTGGATTTGTAGAGAAGTTGTTCAGTTCATTCACCAGCAAAATGGAAACCTTACCACCTAAAATATTTTGATTGGATGGCTGACTATCTGCCCATAGTCTGAAAGTTTAGTGAGTGGGGAGCCTAGAATGTTTAATATCATGTATGCCCTGCAGCTGATGTTTGTTGAGTGCTGCAGAGAAGGCACAGGGCTTGGACCCAGGATTGGCTTTTTAAAATGTGTAGCAAATTACATGTGTATTCCCCATATAGCTCCGAAGCAAAATTTATTGATAGCACGAATCAATCATTTTCTGCCATCTTACCTTTTTGCAAATTCACTGAACTTGATCAATTTTTTAAATATCTAGAGGGGAAGTGGTGGTATATCAAGCATTTTTTATGTCATTTATAATGTAACCACATAAGTTCTTTAATTTATTTTCCAAGTGTGCCCTTTACTTATCAAATTGCCTTGAGTTTATGATTGCTTCATGATACTCTGCATCCATCTTGTTTGTTTTTCAATTCTGTGTTTCTGACTTCATTTTTGGAAACGCAGCATCTTATGTTTAACAGTTCCTTGCAGTTTTTTATTTGAGAAGGTTTGCATGGGGTAGCCATTGCACAGCAAGTTCATGATTACTGGGTAGAAATAGAATCAAACCTATTGAGGTCTATGACAAAACTCATTCTCTGACAGTACAAATAATTATTGCTTTGAGGTTGCTTAGGAGCTAAGATTTGAAAATTGTTATCACAGATCTTTTATAGCTGATCTCTCCCCATATTGTAGTTTGAAGACTAGGTGGCATATTATTTTATACTTGATGACAATGTGAAAAGAAACTTGGGGGGGGGCTGGGGCT